GAGAGAGAGAGAGAGAGAGAGAGAGCCTATTCTTTTCTCTCATCAGTTTGTGACCTCACAGTACCTAATATACTCTAGGCCAAGGAGGCACTCCTAAAAGTTATGGGTCTACCAGACACTACCTACTTTGCAGAAACCGCCTCTACACTACGTGGAGAGCAGTATCCGAGCTCCTAACGCCTGGCGGCATACCCCAGGAGGCCACGCCGTATTGAAGACGGTGTTGGGTATCGGACGCACGACCTCCTGAGGGCCACTTACGCGCTCGACCAACTGATCTAGCCCGCTTGGGCATGGGCGTCTGTGTTTATTTGAAAGCACAACAAGAATGGTGGGCATCTGAGAGAGAATGACTGGAACATTGAGAAGGGTATGGGATGCACAGTCCTTGGGGACATCCGTTAAAATTGAAACGATACAGAGAAGGGTAATCAGTAATTACTAATTAGCATGGCCCCCGCACATGTATCCTCACTCTCCCTTCCTCCACAACCAGGAGTATATCTTGCGTCTAAAGCTTTCATAATATAATATCCGATTTCAAAACTGGGAAATTCCGCTAGCGCGCCTCGATCGACACCAGAAAGCCACAAAGGAGTGCCAGATATGGATCCGATGTCAACAGAATCTCCTCGCTCACTCATAGCATGCCTTCACTGGACGAGTGGTTGAGGGAGGAAGGACAGAATGTGGATAGAGGTAACAGGGCAACTCTCACCCTTGGTTGGCCTCGGCAACACTTTTTTTTTTTTTTTGATTATTAAAGCCCAAGGTGTTTTAGAGGCCAAGGACCACCAGCGTGATTGCTGGCAGCGGCAGCCAATGGTTGTCCTGACAGGATAGGACACCTACTCTACCCATCCCCATGTTAATACTCCCAGCGCACCCCCTGTTCCCTTCGGACTGGTGAGGTGGGTTCGCAGCAATGGACTCCCTGGTGGGTCAGGCTGTGTTGAATGCCCTCCATGTTCTCTCAAGTATCCCTGCTCTAACCCCCAGTCAGGCCCCCTGAGTTTTTGGTCATCAGACTCGTCACCCATGCAGTCCTTTTCTGAATGTGCACGGCCACGAAGATCACCAGCCACTCCGTACACACCTAAGGGGAGCCCTATCTTTTTTGTTTGTTTGTTTGTTTGTTTGTTTTGTTTGGTTTTACAGTGCTCGCACCTCATTACCCCTCGACCAAGGCCAAGGAGTGCGTTCATTGACACCTATGTGGCTTACCGGGGTTAAGGAATGGCTTTTGCCATGCAACAGCTTATCCAAATATCCTGACGCTCTAGGATCTACAGTGGCGGATGGACAGGGGCTCCTCGTAACCCTATCATCGAGCCGCAAAGTCTCATAATGTGCCATGCCTAACAATGAATTTGGCTTCATTGCCGACCGGTTGCATGCTATCCGAAGGGACAATGTTCTCAATGACTTCGAAAGGACAAGGCCTGAACCTAAGCCTGGGAGCAATATCCCGCTCGTGTTATGCTTGTGCTAAATCAACATGAATTTGGCTTCATTGCTGACCGAATTCATGCTATCTTCGCACAACGGTAGCACCCAGGGGACCTAGGAGTGAGACACCCGGGTTAATTGGGCCGAAGACGACCCGTGGGTGATCACGGATTTCAACATCAGTTTTCCAAGGAAATAATTCAGCTGGTATCCTGTGTGGGAGAATGCTGGACGCTCTCTCTCTCACAAACTGGTGCGAGAATTTCTGCGAATAAGGCCCCTCGACCTGGCAAAGTAGTAGAGAAGTCGCCTCTTCCACCCTCCCCCAGCCGCCGTCGCCCAACTCCCCCTTCCTGCTTCTCCAATGCATTACAGCAGTTCTCCTCTGCGCCTAGACTGTGGAATGCCAAGGGGTGTAGGGGCGAGGTTTAATAGCATGCGATGCGAATGGTAGTATGTCACCAGCTGTGCAGGCAGTGCAGAGCTTTGTAATTGGTGAACACTGCACTTTTCACAAAGACAGCAGTTGTTTTCTAGTTATACATTAAGTAGTGCTACTTTGTGTTGATTCATTCCGTTTGGGTGGGCATGGTCGTGACCGTGGAAATGAGTTGTGCAGGTATAAAGGCAGAGCTGAACTTACTTCCATGGCGGCAGAGGCTGATTATTGCACTCGATGTTGCAAGTGTTGTAAGTGTATCGATCTCTGATCCTACTGAGGTTTCTGACATCCATCCCCTGCGTTTCATATGTTGTGTACATTGTGTGTGTGTGTCTGCAGCATATGTCCCTGCGTACATGTGTGTGTGTGTGTGTGTGTGTGTGTTGTCATGTTTGCTATACAAAACTCCACAAGGTGTACATTGTGTGTGTGCGTCTGCAGGATGTGTCCCTGTGTACATGTGTGTGTGTGTGGTCATGTTTGCTATATAAAACTCCACAAGGCATGACTGTGCCAGACTGTACATTGTGTATGTGTGTCTGCAGGATGTCTCCCTGCATACATGTGTGTCTGTGTGGTCATGTTTGCTATACAAAACTCCACAAGGCATGACTGTGCCAGGCTGTACATTGTGTGTGTGTGTCTGCAGGATGTGTCCCTGCGTACATGTGTGTGTGTGTGTGTGGTCATGTTTCCTATACAAAACTCCACGAGGCATGACTGTACCAGACTGTACATTGTGTGTGTTTGTTTCTGCAGCATGTGTCCCGGCGTACATGTGTGTGTGTGTGTGTGTGTGTGTGTGTGTGTGTGTGTGTGTGTGTGTGTGTGCACGCGTGTGTGTGTGTGTGTGCCCGTGTGTGTGTGTGTGTGTGTGTGTTGTCATGTTTGCTATACAAAATTCCACAATACATGTCTGTGCCAGACTGTCGTCGGACTTTTGCCAACTCACTAGGAGGTCTGTGTAAGATTCCTCTTGTCTGTGCGTTTGAGCGGTATGTGCCTAGACATCTGCCTGTTTGATGTGCACTTGCACCAAAAGCAAGAGTGTGTGTGGATGGCAAGCAGCTGCACAGAGTACCATGAATACTTCCAAACATATTGGCGCTTGGTAAACTTAACCGTGGTAAACTTGAACTGTGGTGTCGAACAGTCATGCGTATATTGTTGAGCCTTTTCTTATCCTCTCTTTGCTTTCATCTTCATTCCACACTCCTTACTTTCCCTTCTTTCCCTTTGTCGTTCTTTGTTTTTGTCTGCTCTCCATCTCTCATCTCTGTGTATATCCCCTCCCCCTTTACTCTGCCTCTTTCTCACAGCGTACAAGGGGGCCGTTATGGCACACGGATGTGAGCAGCTTGCGCTAAACTTCTTTAACGTGGCGAGCCTTGTACGTGAGGCACAGTGAAAGGAGGGGGGGGTGTTAAAAGAATAATGATAAAAATGAATGGTTGGTTTCAGTGTGCTCCTCATGTTTGTCCTGTGTAATTTTATCGTTTGTTTTGCCCTGGGGCGGGGTGAGCGTGTCAGGTAAATGAATTTCTCCCTGGGCTTATCGCTGAGAGCACATGTAGCTATATACGTTTTCGGGGGAAAATGTGAGGGGGTTTGAAAAAAAAAAAAGAGAAAAGCAGCGAACCCCAGGTCGCACACCCTCGCCCAAGTACTCGCACACAGCCTAGGGTCCTCCATCTAGGCCCCGTGGGTCAGTACTCCCTCCAGGCGTCCTTCACGCTAATGGGGCACCCACCCTGTGCCGAGGTGTCCCCCTCCACCTCCAGGGGCCTCTCCACCCAGGCGTCAACCTCCAGGCTGTGGGGGGCCTTGTGCGTTATCCTCTCTGGCGCCCAGGGGTCTCCTAATCCTGGGAAGGGGCCCCATCCCTGCCAGGGTTCCCCTGATCCTGGCCTCAGGGTCCACCAACCCTGTGGCCGGTCCCAAGGTCGGAGGTAAGGTACGGTGGTCCGACCTGACTTCCCCAGGACATCAAGATGTGTAAGTGTGGCATACTGCGCACCACACGGGCCCCGCAGGGCCCGACCAGGCGGAACAAGGATAAGCAAGGGCCTTCCAGGGCCTGCGTCGGTTCAGCCTACGAAGACTTGCCAATTTTAGGCCCTCTTAAACCCTTTTCTGAACTTAGGCGCCAGACCAGGGATGAGCGCAGGCCATTTTTAGGCCCTTTTCAAGACAACCTTTTTTTTTAACTTGGGCGCCAGGGACTGGTGCCATCCGGTGTTGGCAAGAGCAGCCTCCCAGTCGGACCAGCGCTATATAGTGCTGGTCCGCCCGGGAGGCAACAGGCAGTTCAGGAGGCAGTCTTCGGACATTCGGCAGCACCCCTCTTGGGAGCGCTGCAGTAGTAGTAGAGTATGATAGGAGTAGTCTTCAGCGCTGGGCGCTGCTAGGACCTTTGAGTAGCGTGGAGAGGGAGGAGAGTGGCGGAGGCCAGGGAGACTTCCCTGGGAGCTTACCTGTGACGCCATCGCTTCAGCTTCGTCTTCGATGTACCTGCAACAAGGCGCCACCTTCCACAGGTTAACTGAGAGAGAGAGAGTTCTTCTTCTTCTTCYTCCTCCAGTCCATCATCTCTCGCTCACCCTCTTGCTACCTGACTTCTCGCTATCTGGCAGACTACGAGGGAGAAAGAGAGAGAGATTAGTGACATCAAGATTTGACGACATTTGGATTCCGACTCGACATTGGGACAGCAACATTGGATGGGGGGATTATTTGGGATTTATATCGAAGACTTGGTGTTGATGACATCCTCATCCTTCCTTTCCTCTTCGTCTGATCCCCCTCCTTTTTATCTGTGTATGATCTGAGCCTGGCGCGTTCCTCCTGTGTGTAGCGCCTTCCCCTTCACACCTTGCGATGATGATGATGTATGTTTGGTCTGCATTGTGACATTGATTGGTCTGATCATTGGTGTTTTAGCCTTCCGCTGCACTATCCTGTGCTATGTGATAGAGGTCGGTTCTTGCTCTGGTCTGCACCATTACGGTATGCGATAGTAAGGGAGTGTGTCCAATTGCACATCCCTTGTGCATTTGGCTCTTTTTTTGTTTTCGTCTCTTTCGTTGTTTTTGTGTTTTTTTGGCTGTTCGACCCTGGGGCTCCCCTGTGGCTAGGGGCCCCACCCCGGGGAGCCCAGGAGCGGGTGTTGATAACCTTGCCATTCACAGCCTGTGGAGTTATTTCAATCATAGACTTCCATCAAATCATCATCATGCTACAAGGGGAATGGAACCCACCCATTCTTTGAGCCCAGTTGCCAGTGGGCAGGCGCCGAGTGCAGCAGCCACAGTGTAGGTGAGTGGACAGGTGAGCAGCAAGGCAACAAAGCAAGCAGTAGCAAAAGCTGCAAAATACACGGGCAGGAGGGTAGTGGTCGGCAGGCAGGTGGGAGGATCACACTGCAAGCAGCAATGCAACCTCACAAGCAGCAGCAAGACAGATGGGCAACAGAGCTAGGCAGATGGGCAGGAGGGCAAGCAGCAAAGTGAGCAGCAAGGTAACAAGGCAGGCAGCAGCATGACCAGGAGGCAGGATGACACTCACAATGAGGATGCACACACACGTACAGCTACTTACCTACTGACTTTCCCTGAACAGAAGGGACGGTCATTCTCGCTGTATCTGGATTGAATATTGCCCCAAGTGGTACATCTATAGAGTAGTCATGCGGATGGTCGTTGCCCCTGGATTGTTCAGGGGCCGACCAGCCGACCGTCCCACTGGTCGGCACCTACCAGTTGGTGGTCATACCCGGGGAAAAAAAATGGGTCCAGAACCCCCAATAACCCCATCAACACCCCCATAAACCCCCCCCAGCACCTCCATACTGCCCCCCAACATCCTCATACCCCCCCC